CGTTTTTTTTTTCCCGGGGGGCTTTCCCCGGATTGGGGGCCGCCGGGGGGGGTTGGGTTTTTTTTTCAAATAAATTTTGGCCCCCAGTCCCCCCTTTTTTTGGGGGGGGGGGAGCATTTTTCCCCCCGGCCGGGGGGCAATTTTTTCTTTCTTTTTTTTTTGGGAAGATGGTTTAAAAACGTTTTTCCCTCCTTTTTGGATTCCATTCCCCCCTTTTCCCCCCCGCCGGGGGGGGGGGGGGGGGGGGGTGAGGGAAGAGCAAGAGAGTTAATGTATGTATGTTTCCGATGGGATGTCTAGTTCAGACGATTGCGCGTTTGATCGCGATGGTGTCGCGCCACGGTCGAGGTTTCTGTATCCGGGCACAAGGATTTTGGGGGGTACATTTACCTGTGAAACGTTTGCCTTTTTTCCACCTCTCAAGTAGACCACACGTTAACGAATAATACTTGCGTGAACATGTGAGTCAAAGGTACAGCTCTCGGGTTTTCGTCAAGCGGGAAATCTCTGTATCTCCCCCTCTCTCTAGTTGTCGACTTATCGTTTCCCCAGGGAGAAAAATGCCACACGACTGTTGTATCTGTCCCCCGACACGCCTCAGGCTGCAGTGTCCCATGCACTCTCTCGACCCCCTTCGCTGCATCCCTCATGAACCATTTATCCTCGGTCCTTGTCTTTAAGTTTTCACCTCCGTCATTCTCCCCCCCACGCCGCGAACCTCTCAACTTCCTGGGCAGCAAGCAAGGTATTCAACCTCAGGACTTCGTTTCCTGTACCCAAGAGCGCCCGTGAAAGACATGCGTGTGGCCAGGCCGATATCACACCAACCCAGAGGGACTCGAATCGGACTCGCTAACCGTGCCGCCCTAACATCCCGACAACTCCAGAAAGGAAACACGTGCTGGGATGTAGGGCGCGGCGGTCATCGTGCGCGAAAGCTTTCCCGAGCCTCCGCTTCATCAACGGGAGACTGCTACAGACGAAACATGATGGAAATGTATCATTTGGCACACAGCAATAATAGGATTGGCGTATTTTCATTGGACAGCGGCACGCCGCTACATGCACTCGAGGAGAGGACTGACGTATATTTCCATGTCGATTTGCTCCAACTCTCCGTGAAACAAAAAACACAGAGTACTACTGTACTCACTGGGGACCATCCTGCCCGAACCAGCAACAGACAAAAAATCACACCGCACCTTCCCGACTGGGGCTGTCGGAATGCAAGCCCGGGCAGCCTCCGCTAGCGCGTCGCCTGCCCTTAGGATGGACACGATGCACACGTTGCTCTCGTTGACGAACGGGCTGGAGAACGTTGCTGCCGTCGGGGTGGTGATGAACTGCCGGCTAGACTCGAGGCACGCGATACCCTTGAGTTTGCGAACCGGGGAGAGAGGGAGAGAGGGAGAGAGAGAGAGAGAGAGAGAGAGAGAGAGAGAGAGAGGGAGGGAGAGAGAGAGAGAGAGAGAGAGAGAGAGAGAGAAAACTGTGGGCGAATAAACGGGCGACACCACCATATCATCAACGCACACAGTTCCCGCTCCGCCATAGCTGCTGCGACTGCTGCTACTTGGCACATGTCAGGTCTGATTGTGTTGAATTTTTTGCTCAGTAGCATCGGTGACACGATCACACAAGTGAGCCTCTCTCCCCTGAAGTACCACCTTTCAACATTTCCCGGCAAGCGGGAGAAAGGCACACAGCAAAAAACAAAAATCTTACAAACACAGCCTGGTTGGCTGAAAACCGCTCCTCCCCCAATGCTTCGTCCTCTCGAGGACGCGTGGTCAATGGTCCAACACCTAAGGCACGCAAAACAACAGCACGCCCCCACCCCCCCAAGTAGCCTGGGCGGCGAAAACTTAGCATGTCGCACCGTCCCGGCATGCGAGGACTATGGGCTAGCGACTACCGCATGCAAACCACGAGTACGCTCCCCCCCTTCCCCCACCTTGCGGGGGAGGTTAAGCTGTTGGAGCTCAAAACCCTCTCGAAACATACACACACAAACAGTGCAAGGTAGCAGCCTTCGTAGACAAGTGCAGTTTTCTTCTGTTGCTACCGTTTCTGTCCTTATCCAGAAAATAGCTTAGCCTCCCCCATGCCGCCCCCTAAAGGGGTCCCAGTTAATGGCATTTAGACGTGTTTTGTGTTTTCAACCGCACTGAGACTGACGTCTTTTCATTGGTCAGCCGGTTAGCGCGGCCGATACTATTATTAAAAAACAAAGACGCACACAAACTCCGACGACGAGACAAGCCTCACCTCCTCCGCCAGAATCCGCATCATCCTGGTCGCGTAGAACCGGAACACCGGCGGCGGCGTGTCTCGGTTCCGGATCCTCGTGAACAGGTGGGCCAGAGCCTTAGACTCGCACACCACGAGCTTGTCGTCGTCGGCCTGCAGCGCGAAGCCTTGCAACATCACCTTCACGGGCCCGTCCGCCGCCGCTAGCTTCGCCACCGGAGTCTCCTCCTCCTCCTCTTCTTCTTCGCCGCCCCCCCCCGCCGCCGCCGCCGCCGCCGGCTGTTCTTCTTTTCTTGCGGGGGCCGAAAGAATGCCGCCGGGGAAAACGAGGGAGGCTTCCCGGCTGCTGCGAGCGGAGCGCGGGAGCGGGGACGGCGCGCCCCCGTGGCGGGAGGAGGAGGAAGAGGACGACGCCACGGCGTGGGAGGAAGAGTTGGTGCTGTGGACTGACGACGCGCGCATCAGGGAGGAGGAGGAGGAGGAAGCGTCGGCGCCGCCGGGGGTGGCGCTGGAGTCGCTGCCGCCGGCTTGCTGCTGCGGGACGTGACCACTGCTGTTGCTGCTGCCCACGTCCTCGTGGTGGGAGGAATCGGCCGACAGCTCTACCGTGGTCGCCGTCGAGGATTCTTCGTTAGCAACGCATTCGTCCTTCTTTCTTTCGTCCGCCCCCGCCTCCGCTACCGCTGTTGAATCTTCCTCCTCGGTGCTTTCTTCTGCTTCGCCCCCTTCGGGAGCGGCTTCGCCCCGTTCGGGAGCGGCAGCGGCAGCAGCAGCAGCAGCAGCAGCAGCCTTTTCCAACTCCTGGCACGCAGCAACGGAAGCCTGCTTGTCGAGCTCCGCGAGAGTCTCGGCGTCCAGCTGGGAATCGGCCGCCTGCCCAAGCTGAAGAAGAAGCCGGCCCAGCTGGGCGGAGCTCTCTTGCAAAGGGAGCGAGGCCTTCCGAATGTTCGACATTAGGTTCGACATGGTTCTCAGAAGAGTTCTCTCCTTGCTGCCGGGGCTCCGCTGATCGACGGTGTGCGTATAGCAGCGCCGCCTACCCCCTCCCTGAGTTGGCGTAAGCGAGAGGTGGCGGCAAAAATGCGGTGGAATCGTTTCTTGAGTGAACAGATCGCCGCCCCAAACTACCGATAGCATGAAGGTCGGTGAGCGCTTGCGATTTTGCCCTAGGAAGGACTCGATCCTAAACTGGCGTACACACCTATGTATCATACCTCCCCCAATCATGCTGCGTCAACGACAATGCCAGCACGTCTCTCGCTTCCTGTACCCCCGTTGCTTGTACTATAGTTTCTAAACCTTTCCCCCCTGCGGTACTACATTCCCTTCAATTCTTAACGCGAGAAAGGTCCAGCAGTTTCTGATTCGCAACCACGCGCTTTCCACTCCTACACCGTGCAGATTTTTCATTTCGGAGAGACCCGCGATCTACCACTACTGTAGTAGTAGACTCCACCACATCCCGTTCGACTGCTGTGGGTATATCTCGAATGGGTAGTCTTTCTGTGTGTGTTTTTATTATTCCTTAATAGTAGCAGAGAGCCAGCAGGGTGGCTACGAGGTACAATTGACCGGTGACCTACAAAATGTATTCTCCGACCCTAGAAGAAGCCACATCCAACCGACAGATAGCTATGTACGAGGCATTGAACTCGGCAGGAAAGGCTCGGTCCCTGCAGACAAAGCCGCCAAAGGGGTTACACCAAGTGCGAGGAGATCATAACCACTACTCTGCCTGGTACTGCGGTAGGGTGGTCGCAATTGTGCACGAACACAAAACAACAAAACAACCAGAGGGTCATGGAGACATGACATAAATCTCCGGCCGCGAACCCTTTGAAGTTCTTCGCCCTGTTGTTGTTCAAGGTGTAGACTTGTATGCATATACAGCGTTTCAAAAAGTCCGATATGCGCACAGCAGCAGCAGCGGCTGGAAGGGGGGGAGGAATGCACGAACACCGCCAATTCAGCGCCATCGAAGGTTTTCGGACACGCACCACCAGCAGCTGATGCGGAGAGAGGGCGGCGAGCGCTGTGGGGGTTCACGAGTTCTACGGTCTAACGTCATGTCAGGGTATCAAAGAATTAAATTGCCGCTCACAACGGCAGTACTGGGCAATAACGCACCAAGTGCAGCAGCACACCTCACCTTTAGCGTTCCGGATAGACGATCAAGCCTTAGAAAGGATTACCCTGCCGTGCGAGAGGGTCGGAGGGTGGGTTGGTTGTACACCAGGCCAACTGGAGAGCGAGCAGGTGAACTCTCTCTGCTTGTGGGTCAGTTGGTTGATCCAAGCCGTGGTTTGTACGAGATGTAGTTCCGGAGGCGTGTTTCCGCGCGCGGATACAAACAGAGAGAGAGCCTGCTGCTGCGGCATCCAGCGCTAACCACGGCCCCTCAGAGAGAGCGGAGAGGCAGCAGTGGGAGGTACCGAGAGATCAAGATGGACGGAGGTGAGTTTAATCCTCGCCGTCTCTGCACCCGTGGCTCGCTCTCTTCGTCGTGTGCTGCCTGGCAAAAACCCACACACATTTTTGCCGTTTTTTCCCCCTCAAGAGCAGCGAAGAGAGGGAAGGAGGCAGATATAATCCCGTTGTTATGCGTGCTGAGCACCCCTCTCGCTCCCTGTTCTGAAGCGTGCGCAGCACCGGTATAGCCTCCTTGCTGCTGCTGTGGCCTGTCCGTTGGGATCGGGAGAACGAGGGGGGGGCAGAGAAACAGCCAACTTTTTTAAAATCCATGCTGCAAATTCGTTGGGCGAGAGGCCTAACCCTCTCGCCCAATTGCCGTGCGCGCTGGAAACTTTGAACGTATGTATTGGCTTGGGATAGATGTGGCTTGTTGGTGTTCGGTGAATATTTTCCAGTCTGGCAACCGGAACGCGATTGTTATGGTGAAGACAACAACAGCAACACTCGAACCTGTACGCTGCCTGTATACGGAGTGTTGTAGTTAGTAATTTATGTGACACGTTTCGAGGCTAAATAGACTATCCCGCTGCCGCGGGCTTTTTGTTTTTTTTGGGGTCTCACTTCCCCCCGTTTCGCAGACACAGCACTTTCACATTGGACACTGCTGTACGGTGACATTAAGGAATAGTAAATACACACACAGAGAGACATGATATACCACGCCCGCTAGACCGATTTTCGCCGCTACTATACACCAGAGAGAGAGTATTGGTGCCGAAACTGGCGGCGTCGGATACGTCGTCGAGAGCTTTTCCGAAAACGCGTTGTTCCTAGACTAATAGAGGTGGTTTCCATTCTCTCCGTCGTGGAGTATTCGAGGCTAAATTGCCGTGTTTACCGTGGATTGTGTGGTCTATGTAGCCGTGGATTATGTGACGGAGTAGCAAACCGCTCCGTGAGAACACCGTAGTTTTCGATATTGTGTCCGAGGGGCGTGATGTCCTACGTCACCGAAGGTACGATACTGTAGCAAGAGTTGTGTGCACGCACATCGCTGGTTTAGATTGAGGCGGCCTTTTTTTAGAAAGTATACACGGCAATCTCACGGAAATACTAACCGTTCGAGATGTAGCGGTCTTGTTTGTCCGAGTCCAGCAGGCAGCAGCAGAGCGACAGAGATAGAGGGCGTATGCATACAGCATTTTGTTCTCAAGGCTTTGTTCGAATGATATGATGCCAAGAATACGAGGAAAAAACGAGTCTGCTTGTCAACACTATTCATTGCGTGCTCTACAGCTCCAATCCCCGAAGGCTTCCTCTTGCCTAGCAAACAAGATTAATACCAGGCTCCTGAGAAGGGGGGGGGGACATGTGGAGGTGACCGTTATTAGTAGGTCTCATCTCCCCGAGTCTGTCAGTACTGTAAGTAGCCTTCAGCGGTCCCCGGTTTAGTTTATTATTAATAGGTCAACTTGTTGAATAAAGCATGCAATCGGAGAGTTTGTATTAGTAGGTCAACATGTTGGATAAAGCATGCAATCGGGGAAGTTGGGTTAGGGATAGGGATAGGGATAGGGTCTGCGTACCCCCTCCCTGTTCTAGTTCCTCATGAACTTAGTTTCTCGCGAAGGCGGCAAGGCGGTCCATTCTGTCGACGACTGACTGTTCCCTCGTCGCGTAATTCTTACACACAACACGAAATTTGTGCTCACGCTTATGTACAACGTCAAAATCTCTTTCATGCGCGATAATTTCGCCATGGATACACATATAATTTTACACGACCTACAGTACAATTACGTACCTGTGTTTCTACTGAACGTGGCGTGTCACACTTGTTTTTGCATCATGTTCGGGGGTGTTTTAGTTTCTACCCTTCATTGTTGTGGAAGTAATTTCTTCGTGTAACGCCTTTCTTGCTCGCGTGTTCAGGGTGCGGAGTGTTGAGTGGAGTATGTCTTACGGCAAAAAAAAAGAAAGGAAAACGACCATCCACATTCCCCGGCTTCAGAGGGGTGCGAGAATTGATGCGCCGTAGATACCGTAGAGGCTTTAGTTTTTCCTTACGTTTTGTAGTTGCAAAAAAAAAACTCCTAATTTGTTGTTTAGTCGTTTGTGCCTCAGCTTCCAGGTGAAGCAATGGTCTGGTGTAGTACTTTTTTGTGTTCGTTGCGTTGGGCCTTCCTTTGAGACCCTTGCGTTCCGTTTCCAGTAGGTCCATGCATGGAACCTTTTATTTCTTGGCGAATGTCGGGACGTACCACTGTTTTTTGGGTCACGTTGTTTGTTTTGGTCTTCATAGATACCTGTTGTTTGGGTCGGTTTGTCAACACGGGAATTTTTTGTTCACTTGGATGTGAATGCGCAGATAGCTGGCAGCAACGACAATGACAGCAGTACCACCACCACCACCACCGGCGGACAAAGTTTTAGCCAGAAGTGGGCGAGATCCTTTTTGTGTGCGTGGTGATATCAACATCCAGTTTGCTACGTATTAAAGGTAGTCGTCACCTGCAGAGGCTTCGCTGGAAGCGGTAATTATCATTTCGCAGACGCCGCGCGTCTTTTTGTGGGTTTTCGTATCCAACGCTTGTTTTCTGAATTGCCCCGCCTCGGCGAGAGCATGCGCCCCAGGTGCGCCCAGAGAACGCTCTCAACCTCCCGGTCACCGTGCTTGCGTGGCCGTTCCCCCGTCCATGCTATCTGCAATTGTAGTTGCTTGCTGTGTTGCGAAAGCTTTCCTTTTAGCATCACGGCTTGCACTGCCCTGACCCCCTTCTTGCCCCACTTGCCGCTCATTTGTGATCTGATGATGGGCTGCGCTAGCAGCGGGGGGCGCGACGCCGATGCAGCAGCTGCAGCTGCAGCAGGCGCACATACAGCGGGAGCAGGCTCGCATCAACGACTTCTGGAACGAAGTCGAGACGGAGATGACGCAGATAGACCCAGAGAAGGTGCGTGCCTTTACGTCCTGCTGTACCGCTGCTGCTGCTGCTGTTGCTGTCGCTGACGGTGGTGCTGGTGGTGCTTGTGCTGCTGCTGCTGCTGCTGCTGCTGTGGCTTAGTAGGGGTGGAGGTACGGGGGTGTTCGGTACGGATTTCGTACACGGTATACTGCTTGGCACTTGTTGTGAAAGCAGGTTTCAGTCATGAACGGTATCGTACATGCGCTTCTACCGTATGTACGAGCAGCAGCTGTTGTAATTCTTGTTTTGGCCTGATTTCTGCAGAACGAAACTGTTGTTGGACAGCCAGCAGTGACAATCCCCGTGGTACTTTGGTGCTCATGTCTGTTGTTTTTATCAGGAGGACTTCAAGAACCACGAACTGCCCCTGGCCCGCATCAAGAAGATCATGCGGCTGGAAGATGACATCGCCGAGGCGGGGGCTCCGCGGTTCATGATTGCGGCAGAAGCGCCGATTATCATCGCCAAAGCCTGCGAGATCTTCGTGCTTGAGGTGGGAGAGAGGCTGATGACAGTGGGGGAGGGATAACATGTCTATGCGTGTGTGTTTTGTTACGTACTTCGAAGCAGTTGAGTATGAATATTTTTTTCTTTGGTTTGGGGGGAGACTCTACGAGAGCGCATGGTGTAAGATTTTTGTTGATTGCATTTTATGACATGAATTTCCATTGCTATACAAGACTATTGCTGTTCATTCTTGTTTTATCGCTTTTAGGGAAGAGATCCATCGGTATTTTGTTCGTTGATATCTCTTTGTTTCGTTGTTTTCTTTTTTCTTTTGGTGCTCAGATGGCCATGCGGGCCAACTCTCTGACGGCGGAGAACAAACGACGTACGCTGCAGCGCAACGACATAGCGATGGCCGTCTCGAAGACCGACACATACGATTTCCTGATCGACATTGTGCCAAGAGAAGAGGTACGCCATGCCTCGCCTCCGGCACGCAGAAAGAATCCCCTCCCCACACGCAGACCCAACATGCGTGTGGATGAGAGGCATTTTTGAAAGCGTAGGACCCATGCGGACACACTCAGAGTGTACATAGGAAGAACCGATCCTTGGAAGCGTTCCGAGAACGGTCGAAATTCGGGAGATCATCACAGATGGGATACACGGATTTCCTTCCACGTGCCACTTGCTGGCAGGAGCGGCGGGCGGACCACTTGTGGCACCGACCGCACTTGCTCACTTTTTTTTTTGTTGCTCTCTCCTTGCCAAATTGTCAACGGAGGAACACCTGCCTGCCCTCGGTAGCGGTGTTACAGCTACAGTGACCTTGAGGTGGACCCTTCTGCCACGTCTCCTACGGAAGAGCCTAAGTCGCCTTCGCTTGTTTTGCTTGATCAGACGAAATGCGTGTACCCTAACCGCACCCTAGTAGCTACCCAGCGGAGAGGAAGGGGGGCGCATTCGAAACTGGAACCGACGCATGGCGGCTTGTGTATCAACGTGAAAGTTGTCGCTGTGTACCGATTTCGCGAAACACGGCGGTGTTGCACAAGCAACCGGTAAAGATAAAATGGAAGGTTAACTGATGCTAGACTCTAAGCACCCCCCCCCGCCTAGCCAATGTCGATAGTCTTGCAGTGTTTCTGTACCTGATCGCTGCTGTTCTTTTCGTTTTTTTCGCGGTCGTATGTATGTCTCAAGCTCAAGAAGGACGACGTCGGCCACGCGGCTGCGGTTGATCAGGAGGCCCAGCAACAGATGCATCTCATGGCCATGCAGCACGCGCTGGGGCAGCACATGGTCGGTGATTTCGCGAATTCTGCAGCCAGTTTATCTCGTCTGTGTTATTGTTTTTAGACAGTAGTCGCGCTTCGTCCCGTGTTCCGCCGCGTGCTGAACGCGTGTTCGACTCCGCCTTCACGTGGTTGGCAGACTTAAACTCCATACAGGCACTTGAGAACATGCGCTTCATCGGCCGTCTCTTCAAGCCGAAAACCTGGATTCCCATCTCCATCCACCCCCGCGCGGAGCGTGGAGGCAATGAACTCTTTTTGCCGATTGCCCCGCTAGCCGGCGTACTTGACACGACTCCGCTTGGAGAATCGGACTGGTTGGAGTCGTCTACGCCCTCTCCGTGATGCGTGATCATGGCACTCTCTCGCTGGCCGCTGTCGTACCACCCAGACTGCTTCATGCCTGTGATTTTTTTTTGTTTCACCGCACGTATGTGCGCGCGCACTTGTTGCGCCTCGTGATACCGCTGCCCCCGGCTTTGGTCGCCAACACACACACAGCAAAACTCCCTCCTGCAAGAGCAGCAGCAGCAGCAGCAGCAGCAGCAGCAGCAGCAGCAACAGCAGCAGCAGCAGCAGCAACTGCAACAGCAGCAGGCAGCTGGAGGTGCTGCGGAGGGTAACGGGGCTGCCGGTACAACTCCGGAAGCTTTGGCAGCACAGGTGAATCTGGTGTGCGGTGTATTATTGGACAAGGCTCCGAAAGGGAGAGCACCCGCATCGCACCAGGTTTTCCTGCGCCAAAATCGTTTTTTGTTCCCTGACGAAATTACTTCTTCGGCAAAACCCCTGAACCGCCTTTTGGTCGCGTCGTTTTTGTGTGCAGTTGCAGCATGGCTGGCAGCCCGAGCTTCAGTTTTTAGGTGTTCGGGCTGCTGACGTGTCCAGCGTTATTTTCCTCGCCCCCTGCCGATGCCCTGGACCTCTGAACTTTGTGCTGTAGGCTGGACGATGTATTCTAGGGTCCGACTAAATTACACTGGTGAACGCTTTTTGAGCGAGATCCCGTCCGTGTGACGCCTATTCGGTGCGGGCGGCAAGCTGTGGTTTCATGCCAACTCCTGTTTTTTTGGCGCGACGATCCTGCGGTCCCTTTTTTTTCCGTTTCGCCGTGAAGTCTTGTTCCAAAAAAGCGTGACGTTAATCCCGAGCCTCTCGTGCAACTACCCTTTGTCGTGTGGCGTTCTTTCAGGCGGCTCTGCAGCAACAGGCGCTGATGCAGGCTGATCCGCAGATGGCGATGCAGATGCAGGTCCTCTGGCAGCAGCAGGCGCAGCAAGTGAGACCCTGTGGCGCCAAACAGCCCGTAGCACCCCCCCCCCCCCGTTAACCCTGTCCTACGAAAGAAATTTGGAGTACGGATTGACGCTTGATTGCGCCCCCCCCCCCGGGAGCAATAAAACCCGAGAGAAATTGTTTCCCCCGGCCGAAAGGGAAATTTGCTGGCGTTGCTTTTTCCGGCACCATTTTTTGGCCGGGGCCTCCTGGCGTCCCGGCTTTGAAGCCCGGATATCGTCCCCACCAGCTTTCCCTTGTAAATCTCTCTCTTCTAACTTCTCTCCCTCTCCCTCTCCCTCTCCCTCCCTCTCTTCCCCTCTCCCTCTCCCTTTCTCTGTTTCTCTGTCCTCTTCTCTTGTCTTCGTGCTGCCTGCCGCCGTCCGCCCTCGTCATGCTCGCCCTTGTGCTGGGCACCAACTTTCGACATCTCCCACAAGGCCATGTTTCTCCAGCAGCAGCAGCAGCAGCAGCAGCAACAGGGCGTGGCTGCTGCCGGACAGGGGGAAGCCGATATCGAACAGGCGAACGCGATGGCAGCCATGCAAAGCGCCATGATGTCAAATCCGGCGATGCTCCAGGTCTGAGTAGTCTTGTACGTACATTGTGACTGCTTCCTTGTATTTTTAGCGTCCTTTTCGGTTCGGTTGCGGCGGCGGCGTTTCGAGGCGTCGGCGGGGCGGTTGGTCGAAAGGGTGTCTTGGGTTGGCTGGTGAGTGGTGGCGTCGCTGTCGACGCTGGTATCGCCTATCTTT